CCAGCCTCCTTTGAAGACGGCATTTCCACCAACCCAGCTCGCTCCTGGCCTGGTTCACCACTCACTGACCTGGAGACAAGTGGAAAATAGGAAACACTGATTCCTCCGCAGGAAATCATTGTTTAGGCAATTCCAGGACAGAAAAACAAGTGTAACATTGGAGAAAGGAGGGTAAAATGCCGTTCAAGGCCATTGTTACAGCCACTGCTCCATGCATTGGGGAAACAAAGGGTGCCTGTGTGTACGAGGACAATGCTGTTGTGTTACCAGCTGCTTCTGTGTTACTCCTGGGGACAGGGAACGAGGAATGAGGGCACAGTCCCTTCCTGGGTTTGATGTGCTCTGGGCTTCATTAGTCAGGGCAACCAGGCAAATCAGAGCTGAGAGAGGAGATTAGGACATGCAGCCCATGGTGGTCTGCAGTGGGGGACAGAGGACATCCCCTCAGGAGTGGCCAGCTGCCTCCGGGCCATTCTCCTACACACAGTAAATCCCTCTCCTCTTCTTCCACCAGCTTTCAGAGATTCAGCACGTGCTGAGCCATGGAGGATCAGAGACATCATTCCCCACACAGATCTGCCATCTACCCTAACTTCTGGCTCTGTGATGGCTCACGTGGCCGGGACTGAGCCCCAGTCTTGAGCATGTTGGTAGCAGCTGGTGACTCCAGATACGAATGTAGCTCACACCCACTGAACCCCCATGACGGGCCCAATGCTGCTAGCAGTAGGCTTGCAAAATGAATTTATTTGCTCCTGCTTTTAAAATCTGGTTCCCTCATTATTTCCCAGGGATTGTGAGTAACTTTTTTCCTCTGAGCCTTAGTCCCATTTGTCCCAAAAGGCTGAGCAGCCCCTTCCTCTTGCAGCCTAACCTCACCTAAGTCTATGAGGAAAAGAGAAGCCAGGGAAATCAAGTAGGGGAGGCTCTCCCTAAAAGACCACAAACGCTTGGCTAATCCGCCTCCTGCAGTCCTTCCTCTGGTAAAGAGAGCAGATAGGACCTAGCGGAGTATGGAGGACTGAGGGGGAGAATGGGCTCAGGCTCTCTCAATCTCCAGCAGTTCAGGTGAACACAAGTCAATTAAGGGACAAAATGTACTTGCTATGCACATGTAACTTCCAAACAAGACTGCTTACAATGAGCAACCCAGCAGGATGGCTTTAGGAAGACAGATAATAACGCATATTGGTGAGAACGTGGGGAATGCAACCCTCCTATACTGCTGATGAGAAAGCAGAATGGTACAGTCTCTCTGCAAAGCTGCCCGACAACTCCCCCAAAAGTTAAACAGAGTCACCACACGACCCAGAAATTTCATTCCTGGGCATATACCCCAAGAGAAGTAAAATGTATGTTTACACAAAAACCTGTACATCATTGTTCATAACAGCATTATTCATAATAACCAAAAGGTGGAAACAACTCACATATCTATCAACTGACGAATGGATAAACAAAATGCAGTGTACCCATACAACAAATACTATTCAGGAAAAAAAATAGTAACGAAGTACTGAAAGCTTCTAAAACACAGATGAACCTCAAAAAATGCTCAGTGGAAGAAATAAGTACAAAGCCCACATATCATACTGTTTCACTTATATGAAATATTGAGACTAGGCAGATCTATAGCAACAGAAAGCAGCTAGGTGGTCACCTAGGGCTGGGCAAGGTGAGGCCGGTGTTGGGTTGGTGGAGGCGGGGTGCTAAAGGGCATGGAGTTTCTCCCAGAAGTGATGAACATGCCCTAAAATTGATTATGGTGATGGTGAGGAAACGCTGGCTTTTATTTATTTATGTATTTATTCACTTATTTATTTTTATCTTACCGGTACATTTTAGATATACATAACGATAACCTTCACCATAGGGAATTTGCACCTGTACGTGATGCCTCTTGCTTCTTTCTTTTGCCCCATTCCCCTCCCCTCCGTTTCAGCCCCCTCCCCTCTTTATCCACAAAAGCCTTGTTTCCATTTTTTTCCTCCCATTCAGGAGATTCCGAAGTGTTCCTGAGGGATGGTTTCTCTCAAGGATTCAGGGCCCCTGCTAGGTGACCTGGCCTGGTTTCCCCAGCACTGCCTCAGTGTGAGCCCTGAAAGTCCTGTGTCCTAGAAAATCCCGAATTGCTGGACAAGCTAGAACAGCCCCTCATCCCAAGGCCACCCTTTCCCATACAGGAAAGCTCCACCCAAGAGCTGGCATTGAATGCCCAGATAATCCTTCCTTTTAAATCATCCTTGAGCTCCCTCTAATGGCCAAAATGTATTTTTATCATTGTCGTTCCCATTATACAGATGAGGAAACCGAGGTTCAGAAAGGTGGAAAACTTGCCAGGAGCACACAAGGGCCAGGACTCAGTGTGAGGTTTTTTCTAAAGCCCTTCCACTCATCATGTGGTCTCTGGGCTTATTGCTGGGTTGATTGTCCAGCAATGCTTTTAGCTTCTTCTTGCCCACTGAGGAAGGTAGTCAGACATCCCAGTGGAGGATACACGAGTTTTCAGCAATGGGAAGACAAGGAGACATGTACAGTTTGGTTGCTAATAGCACAGCGTCTGGGGCCAGACTGCTCAAGTTCGAATCTGTGTCTTGCCACTACTTAGCTGTGTGACCTTAGGCAAGTTACTTAATGTCTCTGTCTCAGTTCCCCAGTATTTAAAATGGAAATAAGACCCGTGTGGTGACACACGAATGTAACCCTGGCACTCTGGGAGGCTGAGGAAGGAGAATCCTAACTTTGAGAGCAGCCTGGCAATTTAGTGGGCTTAAAGAGACCCTGTCTCAAAATTTTAACAATTTTTTTTTTAAAGGGCCAGGATGTTGCTCAGTGTAATGGTCCTGGGTTCAATTCCTAGTACCACTACACACAAAAAAATGGGTACAGTGGGAGGGATAATAGTAAAATATATGTATACATGTTCTCAGATACATTTACTATAACTAACATAGGATGGAATGGAACATGGCATATAGCAAGTTTATTAAGTAAGTGAAAGCAAGCACTGCTTCCTACACTGAAAATCGGATAGAAGTCAGATTAGGTCCAACAAAACTAGGCAAAGGGACCAGATTATGGCATGAACACTGACATTCTGTTCTGTGCATTCCCATCACAATGGGCCTGGTTTAGGAAACGCTTAAACAAACTTTTAAATGCAACCTGGCCCTGGCAACCTGGGCTATCTGATCAAAATAGTATGAGATGATGCCAAGCCACCTGCCACTGCTGGAGCCCAAAGATCCCTCTGTATCACACCTGCCCCTAAGGGCAAAGAGGGCTGGGTACCCTCCCACTGGGGCAGCTTCCCTTGCTCAGTTTTGCTCTCTTGAGTAGGTTTGTTCAGCATCATACGGATGTAGAAACTGAGGCTCAAAAACATTCAAGGATTTGTTGGTCTTATAGTTAATATATAGAATTAGGACTCAAGCTTAGGTTGAGTCCCTGTTTTATTGCCTCTGTCCATGATATAGTACTGTACCTCCACAGGGATTACTGGGGGAGGCATCTTGGAGGCTGGCAACCATACTCTCCATCTGTGTACCAGAAAACAAGGAAGACAGTCTTAGAAATAACAAAGGCCACTGAAATTAATATTAAATCTAACCACTTTTCGGACTGTTATTTAACAAACATTCTATTCACCTAGGGTACTGTGTTCTGCTCTATGCATAGAGCAGGAATTAAGCTTATACCTTGCAGTGTTATGGCAGCAAGCAACAATCAGGCAGTGAGCGTTCTTGAAAAAGAGGCAAAAGAGAGAGCAGCCAAGAATGAGAGCTGGAATCAAGACTCTATGACAAAGTGGTTCTAAAAATGTTCTCATCCTGACATAAGTTCATCCTTAGACAACCTGGAATTTGTTCCTGGGCCTTAACAATATCCCCTCAGAAAATGGTAAAAGGAAGAACGAGAAGCAGAGAAACAAATATCCTCAGCAGCTTACCTATTTCTGGAATTTCACAATTAAACAGTTTCTTTAGCTTGAATTTGTCAGAACCTGTTTTTTGAGCCAGATTTTACTCAGGAAGGTGGGGGAGGGAATGCAGAGAAAAGAGATCAAACAAAATACTGAAGGTGGATCAAATGCCAAAGGTAGAAGGGTTTTGGGGGGCAGAGAAGATGGTTGGTTGTTCCCTAAAGACTACATCAAAGGACTTGACAATTTCAGTCTGTTTCAAAGTAGGACCTCTGGGCCCTGGGCAAATCAGAGTCCAGTACAGACCACTCAAAATCATTCATTAGATTCTTTGATAATTATCTTGTTGAAGAAACGGATGAAATACATGCTGTGAACTACCCCCCATCCCACCCGTGCCATGGGCATTACAAGAACCTAGACAGCTTCCCTTACTGGCCTCTATTTCAAACACTTCCTCATCCACTCTCAAACCAAATCTCCCCTGGGACTACAGGATCCATACTAAAACCTAAATGATTCAGTCTCCCCCTCGGGATGAATCTAATAATCATACCAGCTCTTACACAGTGGAAATTATATACGCAAAACCTATTTTACATTTTTTGAAATGGTGTGTGTGTGAGTGTGTGTGTGTGTGTGTGCGTGTGTGTAAATTCCAAGAATTCTAGTATGCATAGTCTTGTAATTCGAAGTCTCCAGCTACACGGATTACTTCTAAACAGCTACGCTCCCAAGGCGCCTAATAAACCCTGCGGGCACATTCCCCAAATCAGCCATCCCAGCACAGGGGTCAAGGGAAAACTAGCTTCCCTAACCCTGTAAGTAGATAAACCAAGTCAATTTGTTCCCCTGAAAACCTTGCTCTGCCTGCGTCCTCCCAGCTCCTCGGTCCTCGCGTAGCCAGGTTTAGCCTCCCGCCCACAGAGCCCAACTTGAGTCCTTCCAGGTCCACAGTACCGCTAAAGAACCAACTCCTGCCACCGGGAAGAACTACAGCCCCCGGCATGCCTCGCGCAGACGGATGAAGCCACGTGATCGTGCTCGCCCGGGATATGTGGTCACGTGACTCCAGGAAGATGGCTCCCTTAACAGAGGAGCACTTTGCAGCACTGCAGAGCCTGTTGAAGGTAAACTGAGGGAAGGGAACGTTTGCGGCTGCATTTTGTCACTCGTACTTTGTATTACGCAGGAATTGGAGATAAACTGGCGCTGGTTTGGAGACACCATTCTGTCGCTACTTCTCTGTGTTACTCCGGGCAAATCGGTGTGCCCTGAATTTATTAAGAGCAGGATCAAACAACACCGAGAGAAGGAGACAGGAGAAAAAATGACATGAAGGACGTGAAGGCGCTGTTTAAATGCCCTCTGGGACAGGCCTGATTTTCAGTATTGGTGCATAGAGGTGGTAATTGCTAGCTTTGCGTTTCCAGTTCCCCCTTTCATCCCTTTTCATCACTCCGTCTGCAGCAGCCCAGGCCTTGGAATTAAGATGTGCTCTGATTCTCCCGAGGCCTGAGTTTTCTCCACTCATTTTGGCCAGTATAAAGGCCAAAATACTCTCCTGATAATCATTTGTTTGAAAGATTGTGAAGTTGAAAGAAATGTACTTTAAAGGGAGTAGTAAAACTCAAATTAAATGCTAGGTTGGAGTTACCTATTGTCACTAGCTGACATTACAGTGGTCTGTTGCCTGCTGTCTTCTTTCAAAAATGTAAGATCCAGGAAGGAACTTTTCTTTCTTACTTTCCTTCCTTCTCTCGTTAGGTGAAGAGGGTTGAGTTAATTACACTCATTTCATGGCACAGCATCATCAGTCCATGAAATAGTCTCTAATTTGCGTTACTTTTTTTTTTTGTACCGGAGATCGAACTCTGATCCTTGCGCTTGCCGAGCAGATGGCGGAACCACTGAACTAAATCCCCGGCCTTTGTGTTACTTATATTTTAATGGCCTTCCCAATATTCATTTGCACTCTCCAGGTCTGAAGGCATTTATTTTGTTGTCACAATGTATCCCAACACGTAGGACAACCCCTGGGATACAGCATTTGCTCAGTAAGTAGCTATTAAATAACTGAATTAAAGTAGTGACTGGGTTGCGGATTGGAAACCTAAGAGTTTTCAGCTCTCAATCCAGTGCCTTTTCACTTCAGTGTGGCTGCTTTGCACACTATCCACCTCCTGTGCATGGTTGTCTTGTGGACTTTTTCTATAATAAAGTTTTGAAAACGAATATGTTGCATAGCTACAGAAAATGCACCAATCGTAAGTGCACACGTTAATCATTTATTACATACCCATGTAACCACCGCAAAAAGTTAAAAAATGAAACAATCAGTGCTCTGGAAGTCACTCTATTGCTTCTTCATTATTTCCCCCACTCTCCTCACCAGCAGTAACCACTATCATTGCTTCTAACACAAACGCTGGGGGCCATATTAGGAAGCATAATCACAAGATACAATGAATGTTTAAATTTTTTTTTAAAGTATTGTAATAAAAGATATTGCCATTAACCCCCCACAAAATACTCCCCTTTACTCGGATCACATTTATTCCGTCTTTCTTGTCATTTTCTGAAGCAGTTCTAGAAATCCACTTTTGTGTCTTACAGTAATCGTGGTTACCTTGAGGTCCTGAATCAACTCAAGGAGTTTACCTTTCATGGTCATTTTGACTTTAGGGGGAAGCTGGAAGTTGCATGGTACCAGATCTGGTGAATATCATGAATAAGGAGACAACTTAATGTTTTTCCAAGCCTGCCTTTCCATTGGATGGCACTCAGCTGTACCATTCACAGTAGTTTGGGCCACACCTCATAAAGACAATCACAAAAGAGGACTTCCAGAACTTCCAGAGAGTGGCAGGAATGATGGGATAAGTGTGTTTGAAGTGCGGGGGAATATTTTAAGTAGAATTAATGGCAATGTGTCTTTTAGTGTAACAAATTTAAAAAATTTAAACACACCATATTTTTCAATCAGCTCTTGTTGTTTGCTAGGTCTGCCATGACAGAGTACAAGCTAGGTGGCTAAAACAACAGAAATTTATTGTCTCACAGTTCTGGAGCCTGTAAGTCCAAGATCAAGATGTTAGATGGATTGGTACTTTCTAAGGAGCAGTCTGTCCCATTTCTTTCTCCTAGCCATCTTTGAAATGCCTTGGCTTATAGATTGCTGCATTCATCTTTACATGGTATATTTTCTATGTCTAAATGTCCTTTCTTTTCTTTTTTTTTTTTTGGCGTTACTTAGGATGGACTCAAAGCTTTCACAATGAGCTGTATCCCAGCCCCTTTTTAAAAAATGAAGACATTGATTATATTTGATTAGTCCACCCTAAAAACCTCATCTGAACTAATTACATGTACAACAACTCTATTTCCAAATAATGTCACATTCTAAGATGACTAGAGATTAGGATTTCAGTATTAGGAGGAAAGAAGAACATAGTTCAACCCATGTCAGGATCTATCTCAGAGCAAAAGATTTGATTTGATGACATACAATTTGGTTTTTTTTCCTTTTATGAATTATGCTTTTGATATCAAATCTAAAATCTTCCCAAGTCATAAATCCCAAACTTTCCTATTTTTTCCTAAAAGTTACATAGTTTTACATTTTACATTATGTTTTAAGTCCATGATTTCTTTTGAGTTGTGTATAAAGTTTGGAAGACTTAAGTTGAGTAGGGTTTTTTTGTTGTTGTTCTTGCTAGCCAATTGTTTAGGTACCATTTATTGAGAAGGATATCTTTCCTTCATTGAACTGCTTTTGCACCTTTGTCAAGAATCATTTGGGCATATTTGTGTGTAGATATATTTAAGCATTCTCTACTCTGTTGCATTGATCCATGTGTGTAACCTTCTGAAGGTGCTACACAGTCTTGATTGCTATAGTTATATAACTTTGAAATCAGATAGAGTTTTGTAGTTCATTCTTTATCAAAATTACTTGATATTGTACTTCTTGTACAATAAACCTTGTTGGCTGTATCCAAAAAACCCAAAAATCTTTCTAAGCTTTTGATTAGTGTCTTAGTTACATTTGTTGTTGCTGAGACAAAATACCCAACATCCAAAAGTTAAAGGCATAAAGGTTTATTTTGGCTCGCATTTTGTATAGATTTCAGTCCATGGTCAGCTGGCTTCAAGGCAGGGTAGTATGGCAGAGGGGTATTGCAGAGGAGAAACAGTGCATGGTAGAGCAGGCAGGAGGCAGCAGCAATAAGCTTCCATTTTTATCCTATCCAGGTTACAAACCTTTTGGGTGGTGCCATCCACACCCAAGGTGGGCCTTCCAATTATCCATACCCAGAATTATGCTCAACCAATCTGTTAATAGACTTATTTGTCACACCCTTACTCCATATTCATACACCCTTAATCCATATTTAGACACCTTAGATATAGCCACCTCCCAAAAGCCCCACCTATGAGGACATGAGGCTTTGGAGGAACATGTAGATACAAGCCATAACAGTTTGAATTGCATTAAACCTATATACTAGTCAAGAGAGCAGACATCTTTAGAATATTGACTCTTCCAATCCACAAACATGATATCTCTCCATATTTATTTTGATTTTCTTGGATTTCTTTCTTCTGTGTTGTGTAGTTTTTAGCATACAAGTCCTGTATTTCATTTTTTGAGCAATTGCAAATGGTATATTTTTAATTCCAGTGTAAATGAAATTTTAACTTGAATACACCATATTTTTTACCAGTCCTGATATATTGCTCATTTCCATTTGTTAATATTTAGTAAAGATTTTGTGTCTATTATCATGAGGGGTATAGTTTTCTTTTTTGTACTATTTTTATCTAGTTTTAGTATCAAGGTAGTATTAGCCATAAAATGCATTGAAAATGCTTCCCTCCTATTCTGTTTTATGAAAGACCTTGTATGCAGTTGGTTAGTTCATTCTTTAAATATTTGTTAGAACTCTCCAGTGAAGCCAGCCAGGCTTGGAAGGTTGTTTGTTTTGACAGAGTTTTAAAGTTATGAATTCAGTTTCCTTAATAGCTACAGGAATATCCAAATTTTCAATTTCCCCAGGGGGGGAATTGTAATAGTTGGTGCTTTTTTGAGTAATTGGTCCGTTTTGTTTATGTTGTCAACTTTATACATACAGAGTATTTCAGAGAGTTTCCCTTACCATCTTTTTGATGTCTGAGGCTCTTTAGTGATACCCTTATTTCATTTCTGATATTGGTAATTTGTACCTTCTTGCTTTTTGTCAGACTTGCTGATAATTTGTCGGTTTTATTGATATTTTTCAAAAACCAGCTTTTTAATCTTTCTATTTTCAATTTTATTAATTTCTTTTATTCTGCTTCCTTCAGATTTATTATGCTCTTTTCCCCTTGGTTTTTAAAGTGGAAGCTTGAATTATTAATTGGGGACTTTTGTCTTATTTTCTAATCTATGCATTTAATTCTGTCGATTTTCTTCTCAACACTTCAGTGGCTCGGTCCTACAAATGTGGTTTTTTTTTTGGTCCTACAAATGTTGATAGGCTGTTTTCTCATTTTCACTCATTCAATCTCTTTTTTTTTTTTTTTTAAGTTCCCTCTAGACTTTCTTTTTGAAATTTGATTATTTACAAGGTTAAGTTTCCAATTGTTTAACTGAAATAATAGTGTGTTGTCTCTCATTTTTTATGGCCCAGAATATGATCTATCTTAGTATTAAACTGGATATCAGTAACAGAGAATTAACAGAAAAAGTTTTTTAGAATTTTGCTTAGATTTAATCTGTAGTTCCAAAATGCATTTCTTTTTATACCTTTTTAGTGGTTGCCTGAGTTACTGCATTATATATGCATCACTTATTTTAATAGGATGAGGTGTAGAAATCTTACCTCCCTCTGTATCCTTTTACCTTCCCTCACAATTGTCTTAAAAATTTCCTCTACTTATATTTAGAATTTCATCAGTGTTATAATTTTTGCTTCTGCCTTTTGAAAATTCATGGGAAAAAAAGGAAAACTTTCTGGGTTTTGTACCTATTTTCACATGTTCTGTTTCTTCTTCCTGATAGTCCAAGATTCGTTCTTGTTCCAGGAATATCTGGTGTGAAAGAACTAACTGCTGTATGCCAGAGGTGCTGAGACCCAAGAAATACATCAGGCATATTTGGGGTACTGACAGTGTGAGGATTCTGTATGTAATGCTCCACAGACCACCATAATACTGTAGTTTTGTTTTTCTATAATGTGCTGGCAAACAATGGGGGGAGGTAAGACCATTGTTCCTCAAGGGCAAATCATGATGGCTATAATTCAAGACGGCAACAAGCTGGATCCCTCTGCTGCTTTTATTTTTCTTTTCTGTATAGAGAATGTAATTTTGCCATTATTTTGTGGTAGATCTAGTGATGGGTTTTTTAAATTATCTTTTTATCAGTGAATGAACCAGTGTCTTGATTTCTTCTTCATTCATGTAGGCTTTTTTAGCTGGCTGTAGGATTCTAGGTTGGTGTTCTTTCTTTCCTTTCATCACCTGAAAAATACTGGGCCACTTCCTCTGGTCTCTGTGGTTTCTGATAATTGTTTACTTTAAGTAAAGTGTTATTTCTCTCTTCCCACTTTCAAGATAATTTCTCTTTGCTCTTCATTTTCAGAAGTTTAATTATGATGTATCTTGATGTGGGGCTTTTAAGGATTATATTTTTCAGATATAAAATTTCTGTTTTCTCAACATCTTCCATTTCTTTGCTAAGACATTCTCCTTTTTGTTTGTTTCAAGCTTATTCATAATTACTTAGTGAAGTATTATCAGGACTGCTTTAAAATCTTTTGTCTTTCAACTTGATATCTTTCTGGTTCCTCATTTGATAAATGGTTTTTACTGAAACCTGGATGTGTTCATATTACGCTCTGAACCTCTTATGTTTTAGCTGGCTTCTCTGACATTGCTCAGGTATGGAAAGCAGCCATTACCTGGTTGGAAGTAGAAGTCCAGGTTCCCCACCTGACTCCTGTTGGTAGCTGAATGTAGCGATTTCTTGATAGTACTGCGTAGGGGTAGAAGCTCTGACTCGGAATGGTCTTTGTTAATACCACAGAGTGGTGAGGATGAAGATGCCAGCAGCCTACTTGGCCTTCTGTGATACCAACCCTGTAGCCTCGGGAGATTCCCACTTGGCCTCTGTTGACATCAGTGTGGTGTCTTCACAGTTCTTCCTGTGATACTTGGCCGAACTAGAGCCCTTATTGGTCCTGGTACTTTGTCTACAGATAGTGGTATTTATATGGAGATTTTTTTTTTTCCTATACTCACTGTCATTTCTAGGTTGCTCTCTTCAGATCAAAGTCTAGGATACATGAAGCAAAAAGAAAACCCAGGGAACTCAGCATCGTGTCGTTGCTTGGTTCTCAAGATCATAGCAGATCTGCCTTTTCTCTTCCCCTTTTGGAGTCATCTTATGTGTGTTTTCTGTATAGCACCTAGGGATTCCAGTTGTACTTAGCAGAAAGAATAGAGAAAAGTAGGCCTAGTCTGTCTTCCCAGACCTGAAAATGTCATCTGTACCTTTAAATCTTAAGTTTCAAAGATCCCACATACTAAGACAATATTATGTAAAAAAACATGTGTTTTCAGTCTTGATTTATTTTCCCCTGTGTGAATTAATGTAGGCTTCCTCGAAAGATGTTGTCAGACAGCTGTGTCAAGAGAGCTTTTCCACTTCAGCTCTTGGCTCAGAAAAACTCTTGGATATGACGTGTTCCAGCTTGTCTGTGACCCAGGAGGAGGCAGAGCACGTAAGTGTGGTCAGAAATGACCTGTGGCCAACTGCGCTGGTCACCCGTTAATCTCTGTCTTGACTTCCCAGTTGTTGCCGTGTTCTAAAGAAAATTTCCTCCCAAGATGGCTGTTAACATTGCAGATTTTTTTTTATTAGTGAACTCAAAAGCTTTTCCTTTGGACCCTTCCTAATGATCAGTGAGGCATGGATGGGAGAACTGTACCCAGAGGCAGAGCTTCTGACCCTTTTCTTATCAGATTTTTTCAGACAGTGGAGACAAAAGCCAGCCTTGGTGATTTTTCTTTCCCAGACTGTGACTTGCTGATGCCGATGAGCTGTCAGCTGGATAGCTTAGGGCAGACTTTTCAGGGATCATGGGGCGGAAGTGTGGAGGTCTGAGCTGCATACCGCGGGGTTCAGTCAGGTTCCTCAAGGGGCTTTTGGGTACCTCAGCTTTCTCACCCCTCTGCCCCAGTAAAGTCTCCTGCTCTGGTTGTCTGATCTCAGCAGGTGGCCAAGAGGAGATGACTCCTGCTAAGTAATGTAGCAGTGACAGGCTTACCTTTTTCAGGACAAATATGCTTCTAAGACAGGCATCTCTTCATCCAAATAGGCTGGTGATGTTATTTCTGTAATCTGAAGTTTTGCTCATTGAAATCTACTACAGAAAATTACAAGGCAGAACCAAAACCATGGAAGTGAGTTAGCAACTTAGTTTTGATCCCCTTAAAGGAGACACTGAGGCAGGAACTGGGGGCAGCTAGTTTTGGGGAGGTGATTCTAGAACCACAAAAGAATGGCCAGGAAAAATCAAATAGGGGAGGGAGACCAGCCATGAAGTGTTTTAATGAGCTGTGCACGAACTCCCACCCCTCTCACTTGTGGGTTGTGTCCATCTAGTGAAGCAGGTTCCAGTGGTACCAGAGAAACGGTTACCTCTGGGGTTTCTTACGTCATCATACTCTCAGATCACTGCAGGCCACACTGGACGACAGATCCCCAGGGTCTCTGGAAGGGGACACACCAAGCAGGGTCTGGACTCCTCTTTCACAGGGGCAGTCCACACTGCCAGCCAGAAGCTGTTTGTTTTCTTTGCCCTTCCAAGTGACAGCTTAAGGGCAAGGACATGAGACTCCTGCCACCTGGGATTCAGAGCCCACAGTCCACAGGAACCAGTGTATCTTGTCACACTTCAGTCAGCACAGCTTCAGGTTTTTGCAAGGAGCTTGCAGCCCCGCTCAGGGAAGCCCAGTGCTGTGGGCTCTGGCTGTCTGCGCACTGGACCAATGCAAGGTTGCCTAGTAACCCAGCAAACTTTCACCTTCTCTCAGGTTACCAGGGAAACAGTCCCAGAAAGTTAGATGAAGGTCAGATACCCCCACAGAAGGAAAGGGGATGTATTAACCATTTGTCCACGTGTAGAGTTTCTGGCCATCCAACAGCTTCCTAGGCTGGGCCTCGGCACCTGTCTTTTGAAGCAGCAGGTGGACCCCGTGGCCGAGGCACACAGGGCATCAGCAGCTGCTAGAGGCGTCCACACTACTGTGACTTATTCATGACTGTGTCAGTGTGCAGCTGTGGAGCCTGCCCCTGCCCCTGCCCCCTGCTTCTCCTGCAGCTACAGGCCTGCCCCTCTGTCCTACAGCTGCTCCAAGCTCTGCACCGCCTCACGAGGTTGGTGGCCTTCCGGGACCTGTCCTCAGCCGAGGCGATTCTGGCTCTCTTTCCAGAAACTTTCCACCAAAACCTCAAAAACCTGCTGACAAAAATCATCCTAGAACATGTGTAAGTGCTCACTTTTTAGAGTTTTTGTTTATGTCTTATTATTTTTAGTTTCTATTCTAGAAATAATACTGTATATTCATTGTTGAAAAATTAGGAGTGACACTGAGAAGCCTGCTACCTAGAAATTAGCAGTATTAATTCCTTAATGGAAAGTCTTTTACAACATGCTTATTATTTCTCTTTACATATGAGGAGAGGTTATTGTATTTTTAACAGAAAAACATGCCATTTTATAACTTGCTTGTTTTCAGTTAATAGAATCAATACAAATGATATTTCAGGTCAATAAGTACTTACCTTCAGTATCACTGTAAATTTTTAATGGTTAAATGTAAAATATATTCCATTATATGAAGGAATTGGGTTTAAGATTCCTTAGAGGTACACATTTAGGATATTGGCAGTTTTTCACTTTAGGGAACAATTTACAGTAGAAACTTTGTGCCTTTATTTTTTTATTTATTGGTACTGGGGATCAAATTTAGGACCTTGAGTTTGCATGGCAGGTGCAGTGCCACTGAGCTAAATCCCTGGCCCTTGCTCCTTTATTTAATTAGTTCTTTACCAGGCCAGAGGGCTTGTACGTGTTGGGTTTGGGCTTTGCATTACAGAGCTGACCATCAGACAAATTGCACCCTTTTCCACCAATACGATGCAAGGTTCCCTTCTCCCCACACCTTTACTGAGTGGATTTTTTTCTAACTTTTTCCCAGTTCTACAAACACCAAATGGTAGCTCATTTCACTTACATATCTTTGAGACTACCGATGTTGAATGTCTTTTTCATGTGTTTGTCATTTTTTAATTTCTTTTGTGAATTAACTGCATATCTTCTGAGCTTGCTAGATCCTTTACTACACACACACACACACACACACACACACACACACACACACACACACAGAAACTTAAATAGAATTGATATTGTTTAGCCAAAGCCTTGAACAGGCTTCTAATAACTAATAATGCCTATTTTCCAAAGGTTTTGGTATTTATTTGGAACTTTAGCATACCTGACCACATTCTGTTCTGACTCTCTTAGCATCTCACTATGATGCTGTTTCCTGTAGTCAGCCAGGTCTGTTTGGTGTGTTTTGCGTAAGGCACCAAACAAACTCTGTGTACTGGTGCTCAATAGAGGTCACATTGACCTTTTCTCTTTTTGTTGTTGAGAACAATAACACAGTACGATTACAATGCATCAAGCTTTTTCCTTTTTGTCCTAAGCTATAAACTAATAGCACTTATGGCCTTAACCTCACTGAACTTCGTAAAACAAATAAACAAAAACCTGCTTTTTGGAGGGAGGATTTTCTAAGGTCCTTTCCTGTTAAGAGCTCTGAAGATCACAGGAAGGGCAGAGGCTCAGGTCTCTCTCATTATGAGAAAACACAGTTTCATCTCTTTTCCTTCATTGTTTCCTCCTCTCTCCCTCTCAAAAAGATCTACTTGGAGAACTGAAGCCCAGGCAAATCAAAGTGAGTACCCCTTCCTTACCCCTGTCCCCAGCCCCAGCTCCGAACCTGCCAAATGACCAGAGACTATAACCATCGCTTCTCGGCCTTTTGGCTAAGATCAAGTGCAGAGCCCATAACCAGAAATCAAAAGGAATGATTCTAATCCCAAACCACTCTTTTGTGTTTTTTTCTTTCAATTCCACTTTTTAATTTTTCTCAGGTTATAAACATTATTATAGACTCATGTTTTTTCAGATACAATATGCAAAGCAGACAGTGAAATACTGAATTTATTAGTTCCTTTCCCATCACTGGGACAAAATACCCAATACCTGCAACTTAAAGGAGGAGAGGTTTATTTTGGCTCACAGTTTCAGTGGGTTCAGTCCATGGTTGGCTGGCTCAAACACAGAAACAGTACGGTAGAAGGCTTGAAGCAGATGAAATCTGCTCATGTCATGGGGCCAGGAATCAGAGAGAGAAGGGAAAAACTAGAGATGAAAATATGCCTCTGCCCCTGATGACCAGGCCCCCCTGGTTGTGAGACTTTTAGGGGACATTTTTAGATCCAAACCATATCAATAATTATATTTCAATGAAGGAAAAAACTTAACAGTAATTGAAATTACTTTGAAAGATTGCATAAAAGTACGTGTTAACACTAAACCAATCACGGTTCTGGGGCTCCTCATCTGCACTGAGGCACCTCATCCTCTCAGCTTCCCTGTAGACTAAATAAGCTGAAATGATCCCCACTTTTCAGATGAAGAAGCAGAGGCTTGGAAGTTAGTTGGGTGGTGGAAACCTGCGTTCAAAGTCTTTCTTTAAAGCAAGGCCTCTTACCACTATTGCTGAAGCGACACTTCCTAAGCCTCAGGCCATGACATCTTCTCTGCCTTGGGTCACTTTTCATCCCATTTCGACATCTGGAGGGTTGGGGCTTCAGGCAGAAGCCTGTTGATGCTGCCCCCTGTGAGTTAGTTCTGAGGGCTGATGGCCTTGAGCAGTGGGTAAGGCCTGCAACTTGCTGGTGTCATCGCCCCACCTGTCTGTCTCTTTCAGAAACTTGCTGTGTATATCAGATGTATTTTATGTGTATAGCCCTTAGAGCTGCCTGTCATAGAGGCTTGGCAAATGTGGGTGGCATGAGCTAGCTCTGAGCTAAGCTGTCCTTCCACAGTCTCTCTGCCACACCTAGTTGACCTGGACTGGAGAGTGGATATCAAAACCTCCTCGGACAGCATCAGTCGCATGGCCATTCCCACTTGCCTGCTCCAGATGAAGGTGAGTCCACTGTCATGCTTGTTGATGGAGAGCAGGAGCAGCGGTAGCCTGGTCCCCCATGGGCGTCTCTGACACCAGCTGGTGACAACCCCATAAATTAGAGAAAAACATAGACGTGTCTGCTTATTCACAAAGTACTCCACTGTATTAACATATGAACATAATAGGACACATACCAAAAGTAGAAGTTTTAAAACAGTGAGAGCAATGCAAAACATTTTATTATTGATTTGCTGACACCTAAAGGTTTCCGTAAGTGACAAGTTTTGCTTTAACAGTAGAAGCATGCATTCAGATTTCAAATAGCCTTCTGGATATTTTCAGTATCCTTTCACCAACTTCTTACCCAGTAGGATTAGGCCATCGCCCTGGCAGCGTGGTTGATCCAGCTTCTGTTGGTAGTGGAGTGTCAGTTCTTCATTTTCTTGTTCATGTGCCCTTGCCATTATCTTCACTTTATAGTTGTTTCAGGGATCTCCTATATTCACATCCCACTTGGTAAAATTCGATAAAACTAGACCGCACATTGCTGTGTCTGCTTTAGTCACCCAGAAATGTAAGAAAATGAAGAAGTAAAGATACCTCTGACAATGACATTTTAAGTATTAGGCTAAATTTATTTCTCTTTTAAAGATGAGATTTAAAAATCTAGAAGTTGTAGTATTTTTCCTGCATTCAGTGGATTATTTTATGTACCACCTAGAGCTCACTTCCTCAAGTACCAGGGTGAACATGTGATTGCTCACGTGGGTGCTGAGTCTTAGGAGGTTTGAGAGTGAGTGGACCTCGGTGTGGCCTTCTCCAGTACCCACCTAGACACTGTTACAAGGGGAAGTGACGTAGGCCTCTGAGCATCTCCTTCCACCCTCCCCAGTTGCTGGCTGACTCAGGGTTCTCAGCAAAGACTTTATCTGCAGAGGCCCAGCAGGACTGAATGGGCTCACATCTTTGAGATGGGAAGAGAGAAAGCTTTGGCCATGTTCTCTTTGCAGATCCAAGAAGATCCCAGTCTGTGCGGGGACAAGCCCTCCATCTCCGCTGTGACCGTGGAGCTGAGCAAAGAAACGCTGGACACTATGCTAGATGGGCTGGGCCGCATCCGAGACCAGCTTTCTGCTGTGGCCAATAAATGAACCAACCAGCTGCCAGTGCTGAGGCCACATCCCGGCCGTGTGTCAGTGACGAAGCACCTCCCCTTGAGGCAGTGGTGCTGAGCTGACAGCTGGTGGTATAGTGGGATGGGGGACTTGGTGCCACCCACGAAGCACAGGAAGATAGGGAGGGAGCGGCCGGCCCCTTGCTGTTCCCTGCTTTTGTCTCTTTCTGAAGCTGATGCCCAGAAGCCTCCGTCTTTGAAAGGCTCCTGGGTGCGGCCTGCTCACCACTGTGCAGTGAAAGGGAACACATGCACCATCAGCAGGCTCTGTGTAGGGAAGATTCAGGCCCACTGTGGAACTTATCTACTGAGTTCATTTCCAACATTAGCTCTGATGGATTCATTTCCAACTCGGGAACAAATGGAAGCAAACAAGTGAGGCCAGCAGCACCTGCCCCTCTGTCAGAGAAGCCAGGCAAATCTCCCAGCTGAGGAAGTCTGAGCCACTCCTGGGGAAGGAAGTGGGAGTACTGTGATTGGAAATAAATAACAGTTTATGATTCTGGTCATGATTCTTTTCACCTCCATTGTTACCTTTGGCCAGTGCTACCTTGTTCTTGAAGATCCCAACTTCCTGATCCCCAGCCAAGCCCATGAACCCTGGTGTGACATGAAACCAGGCATGGGAACCTTCTTACCACTTTGTGTGCTTTTGCTGATCACGTGGAACAGAAAGGAGCACGGTTGGTAGTCAGTCCGCACTGTTACAAGAGCCATGATAGAAGCATTCCTTAGTCTGTAATGATATGAGATCATTCCAGCCTGGTGCCTCACATCCCAGGGACCCCATGTGTGAAGACCTTTTCCTCTTCATTATCCAGATCATCCCTGTGCCAACAGTTTGCAGCTTACTTACTGAGCTCTGTATTTTGGCAGCTTCTCCAATGGGGTGTGCATGGAGTGGATGCAGGAGTGGGACCACAGGTTAAGAATACAGTATGTACTTGGAGCCCGGGCTGCCAGGCTCTGAAGCTGGCTTGGCTTCTTAGTAACTCAATTCTTGCTCACACCTTCCTTTTCTTTTGATTATTAAATAGGTACAGTAATAGTGCCTACTTCATAGAACTTCTGTTCAGATGAAATGATACACCATACCTAAAAGCACTTAACTGTTACGGCTCATAGGAAAGGCTCAGTAATGTTAGCTTCGACTATTAATGGCAATGAAAGAAAGCTCTGCACATTCATTGTTTCGCCTACTGTAACAGCTGTGTGAGAAGGAATGTTGCTACCCTCCCTTTATTGATGAGGAAACTAGCTCATTGAGGTTTAGTCACCTGCTGGTAAATGGCCTTATTAGGACTTGGTCCCAGATTTGTCCAACTTTCTGTGACACAGGCCTCAGCAGGGGGCACTGGAGCTCTGTCCTTAGCTTCATTTGGAAAATTTTGAAACTGAAGTAGGAAAAAGCTTACCTCTGCTCACCCAGTGAGATACCAGAAAGTTAAAGAATAAATTCCAACCCCCCTCTTTGCCTGCTGTCTCCTGGAAGCTCAGTGACCTGGTTCTGAAGTGGCTCAGCCAGATGTGGTGGTGCATGTCCATAATTCCAGTACTTTGGGAGGTGGAGGCAGGAGGGTGGCAAGTTTGATCCCAGCCTGGGCAGCTTAGTGAGACACTGGCTCAAAACTTAAAAAGGGCTGGGAATGTAGCTCAGTGCAAAAGCCCTGGATTCAGTCCCCAGTACCTCAAAAGAAAAAAGTAGCAGTTCTGAACCCTTCTGGGGCCACACCCGTTGATAATCTGATGGAAGCTGTAGATCCTTTCTGTGGGAAATGAACACTGAATTATTAGCATGCTGTGACAGCTCGGGGGCCCCTTAAGCCAGCCTACTACCTGTGTTGACAGCCCTTGATTTTAGCCTCACCAGGAATTCATCTCTCTTTTCTTTCCACTCTGTGACCTGCAAACAGGTCTCAAATCCCTGTGCTCTTGCTGTTTCACAGACCCTCCAAAGACACTAACTTGAAGCGAGGAGCCCAGCATAGTGATCGGGCAGTTCGACATTTCTCCACCAGACTGAGCTGAACAGAGCCACCTGAGTGCGTGGCACATGCAAGGGTCCATGAGTGCTTACTGTCCTTCGCCTCACCCACTCAGTTCAGGGCTTTGGCCTCTGCTCTTCGAGAGGATGGATTGTCTGTAGGCGCCATATTTCTGGCGGGCCTGATCCTAGTTCAGAAGGACCTTGTAGCTTCCTATCTGTTGATCCCATAAGCAGTTCCTTGAATGCTTGTCTGGTTTCCCAGTATGCTTTGAATGATGAAGCAGCCCTTTCCTTAGGGTTCAGTAAGGTTTTGATGTGCAAACTCCACCCACAGAAGGGCAAGGATCAGGTGCCTGTGCTCCTGGCAGCCCAAAACATTCCACCTACCTGGCCACAAGAGTGAGCAGCAGGTTTATCCTGCTCAACGTGTATGTCACAGAGACTCATAAACATACTTGACTCCTGAGGGGCCAGTGTGTCTTCTGGGCTTTCACTGATGGGCTCAGCAGTGATGATCAACACCTCCTGAGCTTTGATAGTGAGGTCCATGGTGGTTCTGTCACACAGAGAAAGCCGAACTGCAGGGAAGCCTTCTGGACTCCAGAGGTTGAGAAAAGGCGGGAAGATCTTTCCCTTTTTCATTAAACATTGAGCTGCTGGTCTCCGAGGAAGGCACCTCACGCTGCATTAGGGAATAAGTCACCACAGCAGAAAAGTGTGCAGCCTTAGCTCCTTCTGTGGAATACCACGGCCGCCTCTACACTGACCTCACCAGTGGCCCTCAACACATGAGCAGAGCACCCTCCCGTGACTCCTGGGAACAGGCTGAAATTCGACACAGTGGAACTTGGGAAGAGAAGAAGTGGTTTATCAAGTTGCCCCAGGAATGCATAACGTCCCGGACACCGGGCACTGCAATCCAAATGATTCAGGTAGCCCGTTGTTGTCATTGGCATCCAGTCAGTGGGCTGTACCTGTTCCCTTAGCTCTAGAGGTTTGTCCTGCCTCATCCCCTCCAAGGAGGTCTTTTCAAGAAACTCCTTTTAGCCAAGTGCCAGTGGAACTTCGAGTTCTTGATCCTAGATCCTGGACCCCAGCTGGGTACTTTACCTGGAGAAAAACGTGAAGTGCCCCTGAGTGCTCTACCCCAGACTCTAACCTACCAGGCAGCTTGGGGAGGACACAGCTTTTCAGGTGGCACAATTCTTGGTCAGGAATGTATGACAACAGCTGGCAAAAGCACCGCCCAGTAGCCATTAAGCAAGCAGCAGTGCCAGCTGGGCCTTCCCAAGCAGTGGGTCTGCCTACTGGGTCCTGGCAATAAGTCAAGAGCAATCTAAGTTCACAACACCTCCCCTGGCACCAAACCACCTGTTTGCTGCACCAATTGTTCTAAAACTGTGTACCAGGTTTGTTTCAATCAGGAATGGTAAGATGCAGGGACATGGAAATGACTGTCATGAAGGGCGACATTGATGCTCGCAGAGCCCAGGAAACAGGAAGCAGAGCATGTCACACAGCCACAAGGGAAGGGTCCGTGTTGGTCAGGAGGCAGGAAGGGAGAGCCCAGAGCCTTTATCGGGGTTTTCATACACAGGAGCGGTTAAGGCAGGTAGGCAGTCTGAGTGAGTATAGGATCAGATAGCTTGAATGATTTTGGTGAGTTCTGGGCTATAGGAATGATCTCTAGTTGCCCAGTATCTGACCCTAGCATGATTTAAGGCAGGAGAAACATTAGCTCTGTGTGTAAGAGTTTGATAAAAGAGATAGTTCGGCATGTGGCTCCAGACGTAAATTTGAATCAAAGACATGCAGGGACTCCTCTGAACTCTCTCGGAATTTGCTAGTCCTGGGAGGGGCAGTCTTTCCAGGATCAAGGCCCTGCATGTTAGAGCTTCAGAAATACAGAAAATCAGAACATACAGCCAATACAAGGACATGCTGCAGTAGCATGCAGTCGCAGGTCGAAGTGGCTTTTAGCACAACCAGTTTCTTGGCCAATGTTATGTGGTCCACAGTGGTTGGGGGCAAAGGGTGCCTCTGCAGCTCACTGTAGTCATAAGGGGCCCGAGATGATGCCATCCTCATGCCAACACATGCCCCACCGTCACCAAGGAAGGGATGGCGGACAGTGGCAAATCATACTTAGGGTCTTACAGCTTCTTCTCAGAAGCGACAGGCAAGTCACATGACCACACCCAACTTCACAGGGAACAGAAAAATCCAATCTTACGATGAGCCAGGACAGAAGAGAAATGGGAGTTTTGTGATTGGCTTTTATGACTGCCCTGTCACTTGAACCCAACAGTTCTTTAAGCCACTTTCCATTTATAAACAAAAGAGCAGTGAGGAATACCAAGCACTTCATCTCAGTACCTTTTCTCATGATAAACCTGGTCACCTGTGCTGCCCGTGAAGGCATTTGAAATATTTCCCAAATACATTACCCTTCACCCTAGCTAGCCCTGAGAGTCAGTGGAGCTTTATTCTTAGGTATTTGTGCATTTTACTGAGAAGAAGGTAGCTCAGAGAGATCCTGCACTACTTGAAAAAGCTAGATTTTCTCATTTAAAAGCCAGTGGTTTCTCCATTTCTCTCAATTTGGAAAGAAGAAAACTCAGTTCTTCCCAGATCACTCTTAAGTCATCCCTAACCTGGGTACTTTTAGCTCACCCTGCATACCCTTTCCATGTGCATCATGAACATCCTCCTTTGCCTCTTTTTCTGGTGATATTCAGGTCCAAGCACACACTGGCACAAGGACCAGCTATTCGGGGCTTTCCCACACCAGCCAGTTCCCTGCATACCCACAGTGAGCGCCATTAGTCAGGCTCTGTGGTCTGGGGTTTACAAATTTCCAGGAAGCAAGTCCAGCCCTGGTGGGGAAAGGCTCTCTGCTATTTTGTTCGCTGAGATGTTATCACAACTGAGACATTTTCTTTATTCCTTTTTGCATTTTAATGCAGAAGCCATTGGCTGTCTGATATTTTGAAAGTTTTCCAGTGGTGGAACATTTACAGAATGATTTTGAACCTGTATCTGCTGATTCCAGATACTGATAGATCCTAAACACTCTGAACTGCACCATGCTGATCTTTACAAAACTTCTTTTTTTCAGTGATGCTCCCATTTCTATGGTTTAATCATCCTTTTTACAGCTACTTTAAGAAAGGGAAAAGATTTGCTAGCAGTATTCCCGCTTGGTGCCAGAGAATGTCAATCTTCAAAGACAGAGGACCGTTCTTTCTTTGAGGAAATGTCAAGAGCTCTAAAAAGTGTGTCTGTAAGGCTGGGTTTCTGCTGACCCTGGGCTCTCGGGAAAAGCTTTGATGGGCTTTTGCATCTGTTCTGTAAGGAGAGATAATGTATTAGTTTCTCATCATTGAGACACAATACCCAACACCCACAACTTAAAGAAGGAGAAGTTTGTTTGGCTCATGTATCAGTCCATCATCAGCTGGGTCCCAAGAAGAAAGAGCATGGCAAAGAGGCATGGTAGAGGGAAACCAGCTCATGTCAT